TTGCAGCTCATGTTCTTTAGTGAATTTACTGACAGATTATCTTTCAATATATCATGTTGTGTAGGGGTCTGCCATAACTGTCCATACATAGTACTAATTAACATATCACTAAAGCCCTTACAAGCACCACTCCAGCTGGGGTTTATACGTGTTCTTCGCTAGTGGAGGACCCCCATCGAGATGTGTTTTCAAAAACAATGGTATTTTTCCTGTGTATGGAGACTTATGGAACGCCCCGTAGAAAAATGCCCCAGTTTCCCAAATCTCACAGACAGAAAGAGCCGGACTTTTTAATTTTTATTTGATGATCTTGGTGTTCAGGTCAACAAAGTCATAAGTGGGCACCAGGTACATTCCAGAAAAGTAAAAGAGACCGATGTGATGCTGACCACGTCACACATCGAGTTTCGTTGGTCTATAAAAAATAGGTTTAGCCCTATATGTCGAGTACACCTGAATGAGTGAAATAAAGAGCCTTTAATTTACATACCGATAAATACTTAATGCACCTCACTGAAGTAAAGGTCTGCTAGCATGTTTTATAAGCGGTACACTTAGCGTTAATCTCCCCACGCCCCACCAAAAACATGGAGAAACTGGTCCTAAAACAACCCCCTAGATAGTACTGCAACCTATGTCACAGGCATTCTCTTTCTCGGAATGAAAACGTAAGACATCACAGAAAACAAACAGAACGGGACACACCCGTAAACTTTAGAAAAGTCGACCAGCCCAACAAACTTGTGAAATAAAAGTGACCTACTCTTATTGGGGAGGTTAACGTTACTTGAACCATATAAACCGTATCGGGAACAGGAAAGCCGGAACCTCGGGGAAGCATGAGGGGTGTGGAGAAAGGAGTAAGTGTGGGAGGTTTGGGGAAAGGGGGAGGTGGGGAGAGTTTGGGGGAAATGTGGAAGTGTGGTTAGTTTGAGAAAAGGGGGAAGTGTGGTGAGTTTGGGGGAAAGGAGGAAGGGGGAAGTGGGTGGAGGTGGAAGAAAGAGGACAGCTCAGCCCTCCCTAAAAATATGTAAAGGATCTAGGCGACATCCCCCCCCCCCCCCAATCCTCCCCCAGCATTTATAGACATTACCACCTGAAGTATTTATTCACATGGTTCATGTTATTTTTAGATATATTAATTACTGTGTGTATATGCCATTCAGCACCCTGACAAGGATTTTGTATCCACACACATTAAATGAGCAAGAACAAGCTTTATGATACTTGTCAAGGAGTTGACTGTTCACTCAACCCGTCAATTTAAAACACTACAAAAGGCTGATTAAACCTTCTCATAGAGTATGTTGAGAAAGGTGGAGACAGGCATGATCCCTGCAGAGTTGCATGCATCGCCTTATAGATCCCGGGTAGTTAGCGTCGGGTGGATTTTTCAGGGAAAGCCGGTGTGTTTGGAAACGAATAGGCTGATAGACCTGTCGGTATGCACCACTCAGTGGTGAATTGATCTACAGCAAGCTATATGTTGTGTAACAGGGTCCCTGCACAAATTGCGTTTGGTTGGAAGGCTTTGAGAACAACAGGCTCATCCTGGCCTTCACCTCTATTTCCAGAACCTTTCCACAAAAGCTAGGTGACAGCATAATAGTACATGGTATCCTTGGCCTGAGCTTCCCAAGACTACAGGCAGTTTGGCTAGACAGCACGTGACCCTCCCTTCTAGTATATGAAAATATCATGTTGTCAACATTTTTGGAAATCTTCTGCTAAACCTGTATTTTAGAAACGCAATAGTGGTTTGAAAAACACGTTGCTGGAAGATTATGGAAGCAGGCTAGTGGCACCTATATAAGCGAGTGCCTGGACCTCTCAGATCAGAGGGAGGGCAGACCAGGTTAGGATAGGAGTATTGGGCAGGAGACTTAGCCTAAAGAACCCAGAGATAAATTCTAGAGCCTAAGTCAACGTTATTATACACTTTTCAATATACGATTGTTAGTATTAATGTGAAAGTTGCCATTTTCTTTTATAAAATCCAGATGAAATAAAGGCACCTTGTACTTTATGAAAGCGTTAATGTTTTCAATCAAAATATACATCAGACGACGTGGTGTTCTGTACGACCTGACGGTGGTAATGGTACATGACGAAGGAAGGGAAGAAGTATATCGATTGAGGAGAGTGGACCTCAGTGTCATCGTCCAGCCGCCACTGGAGCCAGGACAGGAAGAGGATTCTGGCGTAGACACCAAGGAGGAGGTGAGCGAAGAGGAGGAAGAAGAAGGGGCACAAAAGTGATGTACCACACCTCCCCAACCAAGCCTTAATTGAGAGTCCCTGCTACAGTTGCGATGTCCATTTAGAAGCTAATGAACAGTGTGTAGGCTGCAAACAGAGCATCCTGGTCTGAGGAGAATGGCGCTGCAAGGAGTTACACGGAATTTGGTCTACACTCAACACTTAAAGGAAAGGGCGAGACAGATATACAATCAGTTACTGGTGCCATCAGAGTTGGAACTCTTTGCTTGCTGCAGACGATGGGGACGGAGCTAATGGGAGTGTTCCGAGTGCTGTGATGTCGTTTCTCAATTCAACATTGTTATGTTTTTTTTTTTAAACATTCTAAAAAAACAACAACGTAAAAGTGGAAATCAAAGGGAAATAACCGTGTTTAAAAAAAAAAACTTTTTACATGCCAGGTGTGATTTGATCCATCGGGTTAAATTCTCCTTTAAACTGAGGCAGGCCAAACAAGTAGGCAGTGGTTTAAATCTTGTTTGAAGAAACAAGAAGAGAAATCGGACTGATATTTACTCACACACAAACTATCACCGACAGTCACGGAGGTCGACCAAGCAAGCGATAGATAGATGGAATACCCAAGGTTGTAAATATCAGCGTCTACGTAGTATATATATATTCCAAACTAGTGTTGAAAGGCCAAAGAAGACTAGAGAAGAAGAAGAAGAAGAAGAAGAAGAAGAAGAAGAAGAAGAAGAAGAAGAAGAAGAAGAAGAAGAAGAAGAAGACGGTGCATCAGACATATACTAGACTCATATATTTATACAATCTGCACACACTGGGTGATGTGGTCAAAATCATGCTGACCTGCTTTATCTCCCAGGGCATTTCCTGCTACCCATTTTAGAACGGGTAGACCTGGAAGCCAAGACACACTTTTTCCCCACATTCTCTCCAGTGCAGATTAAAACTCAAGATAGTGATAGAGGGTGTATAGGTTAGTTGCGTATCCTTTACAGGACGTTGCAGAACCAACCCCAACAGCCCCTGGCTGTTGTGTGGTTTCTCTAGAGGGTCATAAGTGTCCGTAAAATGAAGCAGAGAGACCTCCGTGAAGGTGGATACAGGACACTTATGATGCAGTAGCTATAAAAGCACGTAGGGCTTGAGAACTGGCTAAGTAAAGAGAGACTTTCAGGCAAGCCGTGACGAAAGCGATGTTCCGTAAAGGACCTGCTGATTGAAAATAATAATAATGATGATGAAGACGACGATGATGATGACGATGAAGACGATGATGAATATGATGATGATGATTTGAATATTTAAAAGTGTCATAGACATGTTTGAAAGCATTTACCTGCAGTTGCGGGGCTGGCTTGTTGGACCAGTGCTAAACTTGTATGGAACACCATCTTTCCTAGTCAATGGTGCTGTGTTGGGACAAGCACGAGCCCTCGGTGTGTTGTCGGGTGCATTCTTTAACACCTGATTCTTACAAAGAGGTGTGGATCTGCCTTGTTGAAGGACTTTTGCTGTGCTGTTGTATTCACTGGTGAAGCGGTTTTCTGGACCTGCCGCTTGTGCTTTTGTAGCTATGGTTTTCATCATAGCTGATGATGATGATGATGATGATGATGATGCGGTGAAACTGCTGGACTGCGGTCTAAAGACACTACTTGTTGCTGTCACTGTTCTGCAGGAGTTTGATGGATTTGGTTGTTTATTTCCGCCTTGGATATATTTTATACTTTGGGAGCCTTGCAGCCGCTGGCCAGCAAACTTACTGTTAGACCACTGCTGTGTGGGGGTGGTTGCACTGTTAGCAATAAACTGACCTCTGACATTCATGAGACCTGGGTTGTTCTGTCTAACAAAGCCACAAGATGGTCTTTTAGCAGTGTCTGCAGCATTTATTGACTTTGCAACATTACCTGAATGAGGAAAACTCATATTTGCCCTACTAAATTGTGAGGCCATGTTTTCTTGGTTCATAACAGAGTTTCGAGTTGCCTGTTGTCTATCTACACCAACATCTGTAAAAAAAAGAAAATCATCATCATCATCAAGTGCCTTGTCGACTGACATGGGCGATCATGCCTCTCCTTAATCTACAATCTTCCACAACGTGTATGTCTGTCTGAGTGCTGACACTTTTCCATTCAAAAGGCAGTCAAGAATCGTCATGCAATGTCTTCCTCTGTCTTTTTCCCACATATCTTTCCAGTTGTCACAGAATGTGCCATATCCTTCTTCTCATAATAGGACACCAGAAAAGTGATAACTGTTTTTTTTTTTTTTTTCTGATATTTTTAATGAGTTGTCTTCGAGCCCTCGCTATTTTTTAAACATCTGTGTTGCTCTTTTTGGCTGTCCAATGCATTTTATGAATTCTTCTATAAAATCACTTTTCCGAAACCTTGAGTAATGTAATAGTGACACTGATTTATTAAAAACATGTTCTTCATTTTATAAAATGCAGTTTTGGCCTGTCTGTTCTGCTCGTTATCTCTGTGGTATATCTTCTATCAGATTTTACCCTTATGCCTCGATATTTAAACCTCTGTACTTGTCCTTTAAAAAAAAATCATTTGACATTTTTGACAAGAACCAGAGAACCAGGACCCCCAGGACTACCCAGGTTTCGCTGAAAAGACAACACCTGACGGTCCCTGACTTAGAGAGGACTGCAATGGAACAAAACTAAAAAGAAAACTGCGGATAGAGAAGTCCGGCGATCTTTCTGGCCAACCTCTACAGCCCAAGGCACCAGAAGAGCGACTAAGTAAGACACTTTC